AAGGATAAGGAGGGTCTAGAAGTGTACGGAATGTTGAAGGAAGGAATAGGGTTCAAGAATTACCTACATGGACCAATTGATGCAGGAACAAAGCTTAAGGTCGAATTCAGGACCGGGGACGTAGACCTTCGAGAACGTCGACGAAGAGATAGGACGGTAGCCGACGACGACGACGAGTTCAAATGTGATTGCGACTTCGAATGCGAAGACCGTGTTCATGTAGTCGCGGATTGTCCGTGGTACAAGAAGGAGAGAGAAGTGTACGTGACTGAGCTGGGAAAAATAGATGGGACGTACAGGGAGATGTTTGAGGCATGGAATAGAGAGGAAAGGACGGTAGCTGTACTGGGGCATAGGAGGTGGGTTGAAAAGGCGGGAAGGGATATCGTTAGGATAGACAGACTAGGGAAGACATTTTTGAGCCACCTTTGGCAAAGTAGAAAGGAACGATTGGCCATCGGTGATCGGTCCTGTGGGAACAATGCTCCGTCCTCTCGAGGACGCGTGGTCAATGGTCTAACCGCTAAGGCATGCAGAACATAAGAGTACGCCCCCCCCCCGTCGTGCATGCTTGTACCGCACGCAACCACAAACGATGCCAATATCAGGCATCGATGATTTCGAGTACACGGACCCGATCGACGGCAGTGTGTCCAAGAACCAGGGGGTCAGAATGCTCTTTACGGACGGCTCCCGGGTGGTCTTCAGGCTCTCCGGCACTGGTACGTATGTTAGTGTTTGCGACGTGCCACACGCGGAGCCATCCGCACATCGGTGATGCTCTCGTGTGGTTTCCAATAGAGATCGTGAAAAGGAACCGGCATAAGATACTGTCGAAATTTGCGTCAAGTATTTTACGCCAAGAGCGGTGAGGGGAATCTGCCTCTTTTTTTACTCAAACGCAAGATGGGTACGGGTTATTCTGCTTTGAAATAATGCGGACGCTAGCCCTTTGTTCGCAGGCGTTGTATCGAGGGTTTCAAGCCGTAGCGGAAACACGGCCGTGTGTAGACAGACTGTCAAGCCGGAAGGAAGACCCACTCCCAGTACGCCTAGTCAAACCGGGAGGGGAGTTCCGCAGTTTTGAACGCTGTCCGAACAGGAGGGGAAGTTGGTCGATCGATCGACCGGTCAGAACAACAGGTCGTTTGTGTGCATTTCGAGCCGTTGAACCCGAATTCGCATAGAGAAGGTCGGCCGTTCGCTTCAGGACTAACCCAAACCATTTTCAACAACAAAACGCCGCTTTTTTTTGACACTTTCTGCCCCGACCCATCCATCCAGGGTCCGTGGGCGCCACCGTGCGCATGTACATCGAGAAGTACGAGCCAGATCCGTCCAAGCAGGGGCTCACGACGGCGGACGTCCTCAGACCCTTGGTGGACATCGGCCTCAAGATGTCGAGGCTGGAGGAGTTTACAGGGAGGTCTTCCCCGACGGTCATCACGTGATGAGATGATTCATGATGATTGTTCTCGTTGAGGCCATGAGGGGCGGGGGTACAGGCGAGGTCGTCGAGGACTACTTGCGAGAAGGCTGGTGTTGTGAAGTATGCGAGTTCGGTAAAAAGTTCGTCCCTGCAAATAGCTGCGGTCGGGTGATATGAGCTATCACACAACTTGCATCGATTTTGCGAGGGTGTGGACACTGAGCCTTGAGGCATTGATGTGAGGTGTTTTCTGTCCTTTGCGCGGAACATGGGACGTATGCGACGTAATCCATCGCCCCATAGTGCGGTAGCCGGTGGCTAGTTATGTTGGAACGCCGCGCCTCACGAAGTTGCTCGGAGAAAGAAAACAACCGCCCGTTCCAGTTCGGCCGTGAGAGGGGTACTGCTGTCGTTACTGCTGGATATCCTTGGTCGTGCCTTACCACTGATACATCATTACGGCCAAGCGGGAAAGGTGCGCTCCGATGGGTGTGATTCCGATAGAGTTTACAAGACCGTGGAGAGCTGGTTCAAGGCCATCAGCGACGTCGGGCGCATGAAATTGCAGCCAGTAGAGCAAGCATCGTCGGCGGGCACCGCGCGTAACACTTGTTTTTGTTATTGTCTCAACTACAAAGTCAGTTTTATTTTGCACGAGGATGACACACGCTAGAAGTCGTGAAGCTACGGGGACGCAGCGGCGGACAAGCCCATATTTCATCGACGAGTTAGAGCAGGCGAGGCTTTCGTTTAGACTTGAATATCCTGTTTGGTGCCAAAGGTCGTATCGAGACCAAATGGGGGCTGGAAGGTGTAGCTAGCTTTCGTGTATTTCGTGCCGTTTACTGGGACTTGTGCTGGTCAAACCTACAGGCAAGGGTGTTCTACAACGGAGATGGGTAGGCGTGTTTTGGGTCGCGGATTTTGCGTGGCCCCGCATAAAAAGCGTGTGTAGGGATTGAATTGCTCGCTTTGAACGAACAAGACTGTTTCCTGCGGGCACAAAAAGCACTCAGAAGGAAGGCAAGCAGAATTGGCATGGTAGGCAGACGGAATAGAGATGAGGACGCGAGGCAAGGCGCCAACCAGCCGGCGATAATAGTAGCGCTCTCTGGCGCCAACATTTTCTTGCCATGATTTACACGGAAGTGAGGTCGACGGCGGCGTTAATCTGTGCGGGGTTTATCTACGTACGGTGTAACACTTGGTTGTATACTGTGCATGACGTATTGGTGATATGTCTGCCAAGACCGTGTACTATGTGTTCGAAACCCGAGGTGCACCGCGAATCGAGGTCAATGAGAGTGCAATTCTATCGCACATTTCTGCTAGGATAACCTCGCGGTTTGTTTTGCGGTTTGCGCAGCGCCATCGGCAGTCTTTTGCTAGGGGGCTGGGACATACGACACACGTTCCCGCGTTATTTTTTGTCATTGGCGCTCTCAAGCACAGCGTACGGGTGTCGGTGTGTGGGATCGACAATAATCAACGACCCAAGGTCAATGTTAGACACGAAAAAATGGGTCCGGGGGTAGCCCGAGGAGGCTCATCAATAAACTTGCCCTCCCGCATTTTGTCTTGCGATGGTAAATCTTCAAGGGGGTCTGGGGAAAAACTCGAGAAGGAACATCGCGTCGGGAGACCGGTTGTGGGAAAAGGAATTATTTTTTCGTCCATGACAACTTAACTCTGGAAGGACGTACCGATATAGCACTTTTGACTTGACCCCCCCCGCCCCCCCCGTCCCACACACGCAAGATATGTCAGAAATACATAGGAGAACTTTGAGTTGGGTCCGGGTGCGAAACGAAGCAAGCAAATCGCTCGAAACAACCTAGGGTCCTAGGGTGACGAGAAAATATTCCGCCACTGCTGTTGCTTTGCTGTTTCCCCGCCCCGGGCTCGGCTGCCGGAGATGGTGCGTCGTCGTGTTGGGTGTTCTTCATGCACCTCTGCTGCCCTTTCGCCGAGGGTTGTTTATTGTGGCTTGCGTGTGTGAATTATAGTGGTTTGCCGAGCGCGTGGGAAAAGGGATACTTCTCGAGAGAGCGGATGGATGCCAGGACGGAATGTCTCGTGGAGACAATCGTCCCGTTGAAAAAAGCCAGGCTCTTGTGATTCCCCTGCCCTGCCGACGACACAGATTTCAAGGGGGCGTCGGTTTGCCACCGGGGGCTCATCTCCTTATCCCCCAGCCGAACGTGAGTTGCCCTCTCCTCACACCACTGCAGCCTGGCAGACGGCCCCCAAGATACTCCGCCGCACAAGAAAGTGCGTTCACCAGCGGGGAGAAAAAGTGAACCCGATTGATCTCTCTCTACTGTGTACAGGCCTTAGAACCCGGCTAGTTGTCTACCATGACCACCCAGCGCCCCTCTCGGAAATGCCAGAGTGTGACACACTGCCCCTCCCCTGTCCCTTCGCGATCTTTCCCGAGACTTCTCCTGCGCCTTCTTCCGTGCTCTAGAAAAGAAACAGACGATATGACGGTGGAGAAAGCCGTGCAACCCCCGGCGATCTGGGCAGCAGGGCCCTGTTATCCGTAACACACTGTCTTCTGGGGACACTCTCTCTCCCTAACACGCCATTCGACCGTAGTTCAAAGCCTGCGCGCGACACGAAATGCATGCCTGGGCAAGGAGTGTTCCGGAGCGCCCCCTCCTATCTGGATCGAACAGCATCACCAACCACCACGATCGTCATTGCCGCGACCTCCCCATGATTGGTATGCCCGGGCTCGCCAGCCGCCCTAGCGGGCAAACATCGACTTGATGAAGCGCAAGAGATCTTCGGCAACTCTATCGAAACGAAACATTACCCGGGCACAAAATATAACAATCGTGGGGGCGCGGGGCGGGGGGCGAGGGGGTGGGGTTGCCACAGAACCGACCAGAGTAGCGAGGAGGTCGGTGGAACAGGGGTTTGGGTTCCCAGTTGAACCACCAGCCGCCGCCTGCCCACGGTGGGCAAGACGGAATTCACGTGTTTACCAACACACAGCATTCCCGTTTTCAGTACGATGAGAAACAACTACCGTATATGACACAAGATAACACACCCCCTGGACCGATTTTCAAAGCTCGATTACTCCACGACGAAGAGGATGCATAAACGAAACGATACATTTTCGAAAAGCTCTCGACGAGACGGTTTCAACGCCGCCGTTTTCGGCGCTGTGACTGTTCCTGCAGTTGATCAATCGAGATTCGAAAATTGGTCAAGGGGGTGTGTTATCTTGTGTCATATACGGTAGGTTCGATGACATGCGGCGTGGCGAGGGTGGGTGGAGGGAGCGCACCGAAACTAGGAAGCCACCCCAAGTTCTTGAACGGAAATACTGATTCATGACTCGAGAGACAGGCACCAACCAGGACTATTTCTCGATACGGAGTTTACATGAGCTGTATTGGCCCAACACAGCAGACTAGGAACCAACCGTCCTCTGCCAGCACACCTACCCACTTGTACCTGTGGTACTCGGTCCCCTCGTCGTTGTAGAGCATGGCGTTCCGGCACATGAGCTCGAGGTCGTCTTGCAGCATCGCCTTGCTGGTGTAGTGCACCACCGGGCCGTCGAGCCGCTTGCGGATGCCCTCAAGGTCTGCGGGCATACATAAAAGCGTCAGCAGGGGTGGGACATACATGACAGTGTTGTGGATTTCGATCAACTCAACGAAAGCACGTCACAGTAGAAGGTAGTACAGCAGCGGCGAACGGACAGGCCCGGGTTGGTACCCACCGCAGGACGACGATCGTTTCGGGCGGGGGGGGGTACGCCGTCACAGGTTGGACGGGGCCCGGCGCGCCCGACACTCTCAGGTAGTGATGACGCAAGAGAAAAGTCGAGGGTGTTGCCACTTTTGCCTTGGCGAAGATAAGCGACGGAAGCACAGCAGTAGCAACTATGATCGCCACCGTTCGTCCTCACCGATGGGGTGCTTGACGACGTCCAGGTAACCGGGTGCCGTCGCAGGGTCCACCCCCTTCCTGCGATATCAAGGCACCCGCGACCGTGGACCACAGGAGAGCCAACGAATGAGACGAACGTCGAGCGGCGATCAGAAAAGTTCAGGTGGTGTGTGTCCACGCGCGTTACACAACACACGCTCCGAATTGGTGTTGCAGTGGCATTGCTTTTTAGTACGCAAGTGGCACGCCCATCGTGTGTTTGTGAACCCCGTTTCCTTTTACCCTGCCGAGATCGAGAAATTACAGGAAATGACACATGAAAAACAAGATGGAATAGACACGAACAATGCCTCCAGGGGAGCCAGCGGCTTTGTGCTGTCCAATCCAACCTAATCAGCCCCGTTTGCCACACGCGAAAAGGTGTGTGTTGAACATTGAATTCCACCAAGATCGAAATCTGCCTGCCCCACCCTCAACCCGCCTTGCCGGGGTGAGCTAAAAGGCAAGCCCGTGTATCCGTAGACGGAACGAACTGACGTTACCGAAAGACCGGGGTCAAGAAGACGTACCCCCCCCCCTGAACACTCATGAACACGCAAAGGCCCCCGAGACGTTCGGCTGGAAAGAGCGAGAGCGGACTGCGGAGTTCGTGAGCACGATGACAGATAGGGAGAGAGAGGCGCTATCCCAACAAAGGCGGCCGCAGAAGTGGTGTCTTTAGTTGCACCGAAACCGTAGCACACGCTACGCGTCCCACACACACGCAGGCAAGCAAGCTCACCGNAAGGCCCCCGAGACGTTCGGCTGGAAAGAGCGAGAGCGGACTGCGGAGTTCGTGAGCACGATGACAGATAGGGAGAGAGAGGCGCTATCCCAACAAAGGCGGCCGCAGAAGTGGTGTCTTTAGTTGCACCGAAACCGTAGCACACGCTACGCGTCCCACACACACGCAGGCAAGCAAGCTCACCGGAACGCCCAGGAGGAGCGGTGTTTGTTGACCTCAGACCATATCTTCTTCAGGGTCATCCAGAGCCCGGGCGCCCTCCCGCTGGAGGTGACCGGCGACATGAGAACGCCAGGCATCGTGTCGCGCTGCCGGCCGCCGGCCGCCGCCACTGCTGCCGCCGCACCCCCACCAAGACCCCCACCGGTCCTAGGGGCAGCGGAAGCGAAAGCCTCGCAAGCGGCTGCGATGGTGGTGGAAGAGCCGGAGGAGGTAGCGGTAGAGGCGGCAGCGCCCGCAGTCCTGTTCTTCCTCTTTCGAGCGCTTGTCTTGCTGTTCCCGTTTCTCGATGCTTTCGGTTGCCCCACACCGCCGCCTTTCGCACACGTTCCCGTCACCTGCTGGCCTCCGCTTCCCTCCCTCGCAGCCCGTCCAGATGATGACACTCCCCGTGCTGAGGCGACAACCGGTTCAGTTTCTCCAGGTCCTGTCCGGCTTGCGGGTCCCCTCCCGCTCGGCGCCTTGCCACCACCACCACCGCCACCACTGCTTCGACTACTGTTCGTGCCTGTGTCGTCTCCGCCTACCAAGCTTTGCGTGAAACCTGAGGTATCACCGCCAACGCCACATTCTCTCTGTTGTTGCTGTTGCTGTTTCTGTTGTTGTTGTTGTTGTTGCTGCTGCTGCTGCTGCTGCGTGCGCGCGCGCTTGGCGGGAGGTGCTGGTCTTCGTTGAGTGGATCCCTTGGCGGCACCTCTCGCGCTACCCTTTCCACGAGTGACTGTTTTCGCCATTGCTGCTCCTGCTTCTGCTTCTGCTTCTGCTTCTTCTGTGGCAGGACGTTTCGAGCGTTGTGCGTGGGGAGGTAGGGGTACTCCTCCTCGCCAAGGGGACCCTGCCGCAGTGCGAATGTCATCCACAGCTCGATCTGTTGAGCCACCAGGGCCGGTACCGCCAGTTCCGTCGTTCCTCTGCTGACTTCCTCTCCGAGATCCACGAGCACCTGGAGGTTTCCCTGAAAGGGATTCTCTTCCTCCTCCTCTGCCGCGCCCCCGTTCTCTCCCTCTTCCACCTCTCCCTCTGTTCGCGTGCGCCTTCCCTTTCCCTTTGCCCCTTCCTCCACTGCCGGCCACCGAAGCCCCTTCTCCATGCACTCTTTCTTCCACACCAACTGCTCTGCTGCCACCGCCGGCGGCAACAACTTCTTCTCCGTTGAAACTTCCCACACACACCCCCCGGCCCCCGCTCAAGATGCCGCTATCACGGCTGCCGTTGCCGCCATGATCGATGTCGTCCGCTTGTCTCCCCCCGCAGGGGCTATCCTCACCGCTTCCCCCGTGAGAAGGACCAGCAGCAGCAGCAGCAGGTGGGTCGCTGGCTGATGTTCGCATCGACGTCGGTACCGGAAGGTGGGTCTGTACGTGAGAGAACATCTCACTGAGGTCGCTCACGAACTCATGGAAAGAGTCCTGAAACAGCAGCCTATAATCGGCATTTTTCCCGTCGGTTGTCGGCATCGGTATTCGGGGTTGATGTTTGGACGGGACGCATGTGCGACAGGGAGGGAGGACGCGAGCACACCCGAAATGAGGAGGTTGTCAGCATGAGGCATCGGATACCCCCGAACGTCAAGCAGACAGAGATATCAACTTTGAGCACTGCGTCAGGCTGTATGCCTATGGCACTAGTGTACCACAGACTGGCCGGCAACTACACCAAGCACACCCATTGCTCGTTTTCAAAGCAATATATTGGCTTTCGCTTCAACGAGAATTACGGCTGCGTTTTTTTGATAGGTGCTTCGTAAGCCGCCGCATCAGCTACCCCCTCCAAGGGGGTGGCACAGCAGCACACCCCGTTCCGATCGCACAAGCAATCCTTCGACAACAAACCGACAGACGGGGACCAAATATTTTTCTCTTACCTCCCTTCCTCGATGTGATCCTAGCTACGTATCGATCACCTGACGATGTAAGCCTGCACCTCTGGCCGCGACAGGTTGGGAATCCCGGCCTCCAAGGCTTGAGCAGTTCGACGATCGCCTCCACGCAGGAACACCGCGTCGGGCAAGTCCTCCATGCCCCGCACCGAAACGCCTGCTCGCCAAACACAGGGAAACACGGAACGAGCGGCGGTGGCGATTGCGGTTGTGTAGGAGCGGCGGCAAGGCAAGTGACCCCCCTCCGCCGCGCTTTCACCAAAAACAAGAACAAAGGAAACAGCAGAGTATGGGAAGAGAACCCCAGGGAACTATATCTCCATGTGAGGAGGCTGTTCATTTTGAAACCTGATGACGGGCATGCTTTCGCCAGTCAACGCTCCTCGTAGGCACAGGGGTGAGTGCAGGGATTAAGAGTTCCTGCGCTTGCCGATAGGCAGCAACGCCGACTAGCCACGCGAACACAGACCAACTGCAGGAGGAGAAACGCCTCGTGGTGCACTGCAAGGACAGGCGAGGGAAGATGCTAGATGGATTATCGCCGAAACACTTTCGACTAAAAATTACCGGAGTTTGACGTGCTTGTTGGCTTCGTTGGTGTTCGTGCGGACGTTGTTGTGTTGATAAGCATTGTGTCACTGCTGTCACTGCTGTCACTGCTGTCGCTGTTGTTGTTGTTGTTGTTGTTGTTGTTGTTGTTGTTGTCATCATCGTGCTCACCTTTTCGATCAAGTGCCTGGCACAGCTCCGCGGCACTCCGGCCACACTCCGCAATGAGTGCGAACTTTCGAACCGGGTGCCCCGGTAGGGTAAACCTGTGCATCATGGCAGTTGCGTTCACAGCATCCACAACAACCAGGCAGGTGCAGGGGAGCGCAAGTTCCAGAGGGTGGACATGAAGCGGCACTCGAAAGGTTACGGCAGGGCCCATGCAGGCCTTACGCTCTGTCTTGTTGATGCGAAGCAAGCTTTCCTGAATCCCGGCATCGCATCAAATGCGTCATACCTACTACATGTAGCTCGATCACACAGCGCTTCCAGAGTTTCCGGGCATGGTGCATCACAAATCTCTCCTTCCTCCTAATCTTCGCCTCTTTGCCTGCCTACACGCCTGTCTGTCTGTCTGTCTGTCTGTCTGTGCCTCTCTTTGTATCTAAGCGTCTGTCTCTTTCTGTTTCTCTCCTTCGCACACACCTGACAATGTTCTGAGCAGCCGCGGCGGCGACAAACGCCACCTCGATCGCACCCACCGTCGCACCCTCTGCCAGATCTACCCGCTCCTTTGGATGGATTTTCACCGGTAATGGCAGACGGGGTTGACAACGCGGGCATGGCACTAATCAGAAAGTCACTGGGATGCCAGAAGAGGCCGTCATGGGGAGATGGTTCATTTCCTTCACTCCACTTTGGTTCCACTTCTCAAAGTCTCATACGATCTCTACTGTCAAAACCAACATGATCTACTAGCGAGGGCGCATCGGTGCTTGTGGGTGAAGGAAGGGCAAAATAAATCAGCCCAACCCGTCCTGACTCAAGTCGACCAGTGGTGCAGCAGGGGTGTATGCATTGGGGTGCACTGCCGACTACGCAAGCTAGGTCAACAACCTTCCACCCTTTGGATAATCGGACGAGGGGGCTGCAGCCCGTTCGATGTTGTCAAGATCAATCAAAACAGCCCGAGAGCGTCGGGGGGCAATGTAGGAACTGCCGACAGTTTCGCTGAAGATGGACCAAATAATGATACCGTCCAGACTCCGAAGACGTCAACCAAAGCCGTGGACCTGACACAACTCAGCTGCCAAACATAGCCTTGAGTTCAACAACCAGACCAAAGCCGCCTAACCATTAGGTACAAAAGCGTAGATGGAGATCGACACCAAAGGCCTGTGGCATGTGCACATGACACGATGGTAAACTTCACCCGCAATACGGACTACGCGAGAAAAATCCAAAACCTGGAGTCGGGAGGTGGCAGTCTCCGTTACGTCGAGACAGTTGTTGACCGCATCCAACGATGCCACGTGCGGAGACTTGTGCCTCTGCCAGCCTCGCTTTGCCGACTGGAGGAGGTAAGTCACCCCCCAGGACGAAACCGCGCTCGGACTTGCAACATGCTGATTATCTTGTCCAGGTTGGTGCTCCCGTTGCGGCTGCGGATGATGCCGACGATCGCCATGGCTAGAAGAATGCATCAATTTGGCACTGCTTCGGGGCGCCCGAACCCTGCCCGGATGGATATGGAAGCAGAATCAAGTAATTACGGTTTGGTGACAAAACGCCTCGAAGAACGCCAGCAATACGGTACACGAGCGTATCGCCCTACATACCAAGCTACCGACTCGACAAACGACAAGAAATGACCCCGGTCCATAGTGATAGCTCTCGTAGCGATTGCCATTGCCTGCAAGAAACCAGCTACAGCGTGATACTTCATAACTTGCTGCCAAGGGTTTAGCCTACTTTACGTCCTCATCCCTCCGTTCACGCAAATCTGCGCTACTTGCAAGCAGAGTCTTGTGGGGGCAACCCTCTTTGCCAGTCTCCTGTTGCTGCTGTGCTCGTGTGAGGGTTCGAGGAGACAAGCCGTCCTACAGTATGCTTGTCATTCCACGGTGAAATCTTAATTGTTTCTTCTCTCGCAGCGGGAGAGCGGGGTCGGGGAACGCTGTGCTTGTTGAGAAACAACCAAGATATTGCGCGCAGCACTGCAAACGCATATAGTCTAGACTGCTCAATTGCAGAGGGAGAGGGGAGGTCACCGAAGGGGAAAGAGAGACAAAGAGAGGCAGAGAGAAAAAAACACAGATACAGAGAGAGAGAGAGAGAGATGGTGAGAGGCAGAGAGAAAAACACACAGAGCTACAGAGAGGTAGAGGGTAGAGAGACACAAAGACACGAGGAAGACGTAGACAGACATTCCCCGTTTCGTGAAATGGGAATGGGGTGTAGGGGATTCACACCCTAGACTAGTCTAGATACATGTGGTGCCGGGCAACCACGGGCGGCGGCATACCGGTCAAGGGTAAAGAAAGGCAAGGCACGCAGCTCAAGCCGCGTCTTTATCGCATCTTTCATCCGGAGACAGACGCATACGATGAGGCACACAGCAATTAGTACAGCGGCGTGCTGCAGCTGCTGTATCCTTGATGCTCCCAAGCACTTATATGGGATGTAGGACTGCTGCAATGCATACACTACAGAGCAAAGGATTTGAATTTCAATTTCAGTTAGTCTACATGCATGTCCTATAGAGAAAGTACATTCCACCACCTCCAACGGTTTCCCCGCATTTTCATACCTTTCGACCGTTGCCCGCTGTGATGTGAACAAGGAATCCGTAACATATGCAACTTACAGGATCCCTCTTCTTGGTCATGTGGCTGTCTTGTTTGGCCAACGACATAGACAGAGAAGCTGCAACCGATAGAGCACTTCACCGGGGGGGTCCGTGACGCGAACACATCAAGGCCAGGGGCTACATGGCGCCTCTTTTGGAAACAAGAAACTTATGTAGACGACGTCGAGTGCACATACATGTATCTCCACCCAGGTATTCATGTGCCTCTCCACCATCATGCTCCCCTGTCTCTCACTTTGTATGGGCGAGCGGGGGTTTAGCCGAGAGACGCGTCTCAAGCTATCATGTGTTCTGCAACATTCCCTCACGGAATCTCTCACTTACAATAGAGTTCTTCCGCGTTTTGAAGGTGTGCCGCAACTTGCGCCTCTGGCAGTTTTTCACCCTATACCGCTGCTGCTGTGTCTATTCTATATCCTTACGCACTACTTCACCTGCTGTCTGCCCGGTGGCGTGGTCACTAGTGAGTGGGCTGAACCGCACAAATAGGTACAGGAGCATGTAAGTGCCAGCAATAGACTATAGGGACCCAATAATCCCGCTCGTCGTGTGCCTATTCGCACACGTTTTGGGCCGAACGAAATCCCCTTTCCTCGTTGAACTATCTTTTGTGCTTGTCAAACATAACAACATCGTGGTGTCCGTCTTGACTTGCAGATCTACTCTTATGAGAGTACCCGCGAAGAACAGGCTCCCGCCAGAGTTCGGTGGAGATTTGGCGGGGAAACTACAGCTGCGTACAATAATGCGTATGAGTTTGACATGGAATCCTAGCTTATGACACGGTTATTGCCATGGCAGGAAGGTCTTCGAACTTGAACATACCCATTATATTTTCGTGCCCAAGTCTTCTTCTTGCAGAACCGGATTAACCCCTTTGGGTCTAGGCTACTCGCCAGCCAAACGGGTGGTCCGCCGCCCGCATGTTCCCGTTCGAAACATATTTTTTATTTTCTAGAACCAAAAAAAAAAGAGGGGTGAGAGCGAGA